CTAACTACTACTACTCTATCTACTTGTAGTTCTTCTCTCTCTCTCTCTCTCTCTCTCTCTCTCTCTCTCTCTCTCTCTCTCATATGAACTAAAATCAGCAAGTTTAACTAGGGAAGACAAACAATGTCTCCCAAGTTTTAGTTCCTAATCAACTTCATTTAGCTTTTATTAATTATCATGTTTCATTCGAGAGGGACCTATTGAATTTTCTTTCCTAAACCAGTGTATGTATGTTTCATTAACTTGAGGAATTAATCCATATTTTGATTTGGAAAACATGTAATATATCAACATTTGAGCTGAGCAAATTCTAGTATACTACATATAGCATAATTATTTCAATTGAATAAATAGCTGACTTCACGTCTGGTCACGCTCCCTCCATTTTGATTGTTATTGATAAACAAGTGAAGAAGCATCAATCTAACTTCATTAAGTATGATCAGTTAGTTTTATGGTTATGATAATTAGGGTTTATAATTTGGAAACACTTAAACAAATCTATGAAGGACAAGTGCAGCCCTCTACCACCCTCTCACAAATGCAACTTGGGGTTTACATGTGGAATATAATTTTGAAGATTTAATATTTGTCTTTATTTCTTTTTTGCTCTTTTTCTTTAGAGAAGACTGAAAAATGAGCATGAGGGGCTGGGGAGTGGGAGGGGTGGCGGAGGGAGAGAGAGAGAGAGAGAGCAAAATGTCCATGAAGTTGAAGGAGAAAGTAATCTCGATAGGCTTAAGAGTGGATATCGAGCAAAAGGAGTGAACAAGCTCAATAAAAAAATGTGGCTAGAGCAAAGTTAATTAGTGGCTCAATTAAGGGACTGAATTGAAGAGAAAGAGAAGCTATTTTCTTACCCGAAATAGCCCTTATTGTATATAATACGTAAAAATTCTTTCACCAATTAAACAAATTCAAAATACCCATGTGATTACTCACATTTCGTTCTTCTATCTCTTCCCAACATTTCTCCCTTTCCACCCGCTTCTCTCCTTCCTCTCTCAACTATAGATTCAAAACTTCTATCAAACTTGATTTATTGGATAGCTCTTTGCCCGCCTCTCTTCCCTCTTTTTAATCTAAACAGATCTAAAATACCTCTCAAACTTGATTTTTTTGGTCAGATCTTGACGTAAAAATGAAGAAAAACAAAAAGAGAGGTAGCTAGCTGGTCGAAAAGGAGAGAAATCATCGGAAAAAAATAGTTTTCGGATAGATTTACTAGTAATTCTCTAAATAGATCCAAATAGGAAAGCATTGGCGAATTTCTAATATCTTCCAGTGGTTTGTTTTCTCTCATAAATTTATATAACCGATATTTATACACCCTTATAGTTAGTGTGTACGTATATGAGTTGCTAAATTCAAATAATAATAATAATAATAATAATGATAATGATAATATGCTTTTTTGGATGAATTTTAGACAAAAAATAAGCATGAAAAAATAATGATAAAAAAAAAAAATCTGATATAGGAATGAGAAACAGAAAGGCAAATAAAATTTAAAAAAATCAAAAATAAGTGAAAAATATGGGTGAGAGAGGAGAGAAATGTTTGCTAGATGGAGATGGATGAAAATTTAAGTTTACATGAAAATACAAAGTCTTTTTGTGCATCTTGACAAAATTTGGTTGATTATGCAGATGAAATATATTATATTGAGCTGCACATTTTTTAAAAACACGCAACGTAACTGTGTTCTTTTAATAATTCCTATTTTAGTTTTCTCTTAAATTGTTCTGTCTATGGCATGATATTAAAATTGGTAATCGACATTTGTCGATTAAATGTTTTCACTAATTACGTTTATTTAATTACATTGCTTGTTAATTTTTTTTTTATTCATATGCTAATTAATGAACCAATTTTTAGATTGGGTAAAGTGAGGCATGTAGATCTGCAATATTATTGAAATAAAAAAGTGTTATTCCTGTCACACCTCTTTTCTACCCCAAAGATTATGTGTTATGGATTGTGGGTGAAAGAGTGTTTCCAATTAAAGTGACAAACTTGAGTAGGGATTATTTTATTGTTCAGAGCCGCCACTTGGAATTGATTTTTGGGTGTTCCAAGTCACCTTTTATTTGAATCCCTAGTCAAAGGAAGGTTTGACTCTATTATTATTGGTCTGCAAAAATAAAGTCCGAGTAAGGAATTCTGGTGTAAGGTATCCCGAGTCCCGTAGTTCTAGCACGATCACTTTTATTGACAAAATTGGCTTGAATTAATTTTTGGACAAACTGAGCTTTATTTGATTTTCATGTTTGCATATGTCGGCTTTTATTGTTGATTATTAGAATTATAAAAAAAAAAAATTTGGAGAAATTACGTTGTCATAACCATGCTACGCAAGCGAATGCGTGATCGAATATCAAAATTAATTAACTTATCATAATTGCGCCTCGCAAGCGAATCCGAAATCATGACAATCAATTATTTGTAGTACTTTTGAGAAATTATTAAATTTGAGAGAAATAATTCTTGAAATTTTTTAAAAAGTCAACAATAGCGCTACGCAAGCGAATTCGCGATTTTAGCAAAGGCTTAATTAAATTAAAAACTAACTAAAACTAATGGGTATGATATGAGATTATTGAATTAATTTATTGAATGATAAACATCACGCTATGCAAGCGATTCCGTAAATGAAAAAAATAAAGTGTGCCTACTAATTGCCTAGCGCTTAAATTAATAATAAAAGAGACTAAGTTATTTAATAAAAGAAAAATCTGATTTTTGTCGAGGTTATTTAACTAAACAAGTATATATATATATATATATATATATATACACACACACACACACACACACACAATGTATTAAATTTTTTATATACACATTGTATAAATATTGTATATAAGTT